CTTCGGAGAAGGCCACCCCTTTCAGTAGCTCTTCTCGCCCAGTCCCCCCTCAGAGTACCCTTTCTGTGCATGAAAGTCAACCTGTAAGTTCTCTGGGGACATCTCAAGTTGAGTCATCCCCTCCTCTTATACCTGTCAATACTGGGTCACCCGGGACCTCTTTCACTGGTCCTAGGATCTCAGGCCTCACCACCACCCTGCCAGGAAGCATGCGTCCATTGGGGACAAGCTCTTTGCCCGTGGCCAGCCTACCTCACAGTGCAAGCTCCGCATATGAGAATGTCCCCACTTCAGTGCGTCCCTCCCATTTACACTCAGTGTCTGTTTCCCCCGAGGTGGCCATGGTCAGCGCGGGAACCAGCAGCTATGGTTTGCAGCGCGGCTCTACCGCCTCTCCTGTGGCCCTTCCATCAATGTCCTCAGATGCAGTGCCCACTCTCTCCGGTCACTCTCGGACTTTGTTTCTCACGGGGACCTCCTCTCCATCTCCTGACCGTGTTTCCTCCCTAAGCATGTCATCCGTCACCTCCTCCAGATCCTCACCGGAAACCGTTCCCTCTTCTCCAGCCACCACACTCTTACACAGTAATTATGCTCCCCCAAGCACAGTGTTGGCTCCGGTGTCTCCCACCAATTCTAGGCAGGAGTCTCAGTCCTCTCTGTCGTCTGACTCAGAGCTTTCCACATCAACATCTCCCAGGGCTACCTCTTACACCACAATGGAGACCTTTATTTCCACATCAAAGCCTAGCTCTTCTGAGGCTGCAAGTATTCAGATGGAGTCATTGTCTACCCTTTCCCCTGGATTGACAAAGTCCAACACCTCTGACAAGACCAACTCCTGCACAAATACAAGCTGTCTCCTCGACAGTGTACCCACTGATGCCAGTTCTGTGATCTCCAAGACGGACATCCTTCCCTCTTCCAGAACACCCAGCCCTTATCTTGCTCAGTTCACGAATTCTCCAGACTTCTCCACTCGGACAATAGCCAGGCTCTTCGCCTCCTCCACCAAGAGAGATTCTGCAGAAGTAACTATCACCACCCACACAAGTCCTTCTAAGGATACAACACAGGATACCCTTACCTGGGAGACATCCTGGGCAGAGTCCCATTCACCTGGCCATGCTACTCTGTCCATCATTGCAGGGAACTTGCCTTCATCCACTTTTATACCATTATCCTCTTCTGTCTCCACTACGACTGGCTCTTCAACCAGCCCAGCCCTCCCTCGGATTACTTCCTCTCCCACTACCCATCTTGGGACAGAGAGCATCCCTACTGAAGGATCCTTGATTACGCTCAGTGGGTTGGAGTCCAGCACCCAGCCAGTCAAGACATCTGTATCACCCACTTTGAATATCAGAGCAATTGAGAGTGTTGACTCAAAAACAGATACAAGTGCTTTTGCAGTTCCTCCACCCTCCACCCAGTTCACAAGTAAGGACCTATATCTCCTACACACCCACTCATGAGAGGATCATAGGAAATAGCACTTTCCTAAGAGGGAAAAGGAAAATAATGAGGAGTATTTCCTGTACCTGAATGTTTTTTTTGCAAACATCTGTTAATCTCATTTCAACTCCAAGTGCTGGGCTAGGCATGGGGAAGCACAGGTGATAAGCAAGTGGTGGAAAAGTTATAACCCATGACAGATGCTCTGCTATTGCTACTACTGAGGATGATGACGAGGATGACAGCTAATGTTTATAGCATGTATTCCACATTAAGCACTTTTTCATTAAGGTTTCAAATCCTCATTGCAACATTAGTTGGAGTGGGGGCTCTTCACGAGCCTGTTTTGCAGATGAAGAAGTTGTGAGATGCAGAGAAGTTACCTGCTCAAGATAACAAAGATGATAAGTTACAGAACTAGAATAAGAACTCAGACTATGTAGCACTAGGAATCCGTGCTGTTAACCCTTAGGCTAAACCAGAATGCTCAGAGTTAGCTAGAAAAGCCAGAGATTCTAAGATCTCTGAAGCCACAGGAGGGTGCCGTTTTAGGGAGAAAAGATGAGTTCTGTCAAATGCTACTAAACGGCAGGGATCCTCAGAGATTCTAATGAAGGGTGTATCCCTGAGGTTAGGGGACTAAGAGAAGAGCTCAAAGGTACTAGCGAGAGGTTTCACCTTTGGGTGGAGCATGTTTCTGTAGGGGAGAAGAGTCCAAACAGGCACAAGTGAGATCAGAGGTGAGCACATGAAACCTGGGGAGACAGGGTACTCAGGGATGTGGGATGGACCTGGAGACAGGAAAACGCCACTTCCCAGAGAACAACCCATCAGGGAAGAAACCTCTTGGAGAGTCTATTCTTCTGAAAGGGTTGAGCTAATCCCCAGTTCTTGTTCTGAACACAAGTCCAAAGAGGCCCCACAACTAGTCCAGCACCTGCTTCACTACCGTGTCTCCCCAGGATCCTAATGTGATCCCCTCCCCCCAGCTGGCTTGGACAATCCCCAGCCCACGTCTCCGAGCCACGGTTCCCTAGTTAGGGCATGAGTGTTGATTAAGCAAGAGGTGCGTGAGCTGGCAGGAAGGTGAAGGTGTGGCCGGATGGAGGGAGGAGGGAAAGAATGGAGAGATGGAGGGACAGAAGGCAGGAGAGAAAGAAGGCAGCACTGAAGGCAGTTGATAACTGAAAGACGGTGGAAGGATGATGGGAGGGAGTAAAGATTGAAGAGGAGAGGGGAAAGGGAGAGAGGAACAAGGGAAAGGCGAAGGGTGGGCAGCGGGGGAGAAAGGGTTAAAAGGAAGCAAAGATGGAAGAGAAGGCGGTCAGGCCTAGACTGGGCAAAGGACGGGCGGCTCTACGGGCAGATGGATGGGTCTGTGGACGGGTCACATGCAGGACTGGCGTGAGTTCGTACAGAAGGACATGAGGGGCAGAGTGATGACGTGGACACACCTGGACGTGGGCTCCTTCTGGGTGAGATGAGTTACCCCAGTCTTCTCCCTACCCTCTCCTATAGAACCCGACGACACTGTGGAGCGGCACACAAAGAAACCCAATGGAGCGGCCCCCAGAGGCACCGCGGGACCCGTTGAGGGCCCTCCGGCAGCCACATCCCCTGCTGGTTCTAAAGGTAGGTTTGACTGCTTCCTAGAAACCCCACCTGTGCCCTGGCCTCCGACTCCAGCCACGAAGCTGACTTCTTTGGAAGGAGAATCGTGTGTGACTGTCACGAATCTCCCTGCCTCAGCTGGATCTTTGTCTCATGGTGACTGGGCGGATGCTACCACTTTTCTTCTCTTCAGGGCAATGCTGAGGGTCTTTAGTTCAAGGTCAGAGAATTTGACCCGGTTTACCTTAATTCTCAAGACCTCTATTGATAACTCACTGCATGCCTGACACTCTGGTATAAATCAAGGAAGCGCAGGATGAAAACATTTTGGTATCGCATCCATGAGAGACGGCAAAGGAACAAAATAACTATGTTGTAGATTTAAACGTAGGCCATGAAGGCACCCTGGAGCCACAGAGGGAAAGCTTCACGGAGGAGGGAACATTTGCCTTGGGTTGTACAGGATGAATAGGAGTTTGCCAGGAAGACAGGGGGAGTGGAGGAAGACCTACTAGATGCAGGACAGAGCGGCACATTAGGCACAAAGAGAAGTGAAACCCAGGGATAGCTGGGTATGACTAAATCATAGTCGTGATGATTTGCTCAAGTATGAGATGTATGTGGTCAGTGGGAGATAAAGCTGGAGGTGGGGGGCAGAAAACCTCCTAAGCCTTCGTAATGCTTGTCTACCTCTGAACAAAAGCGCAAAGAAGTTTGTGGTCCAAGAGGTTTAGCATACATATTGCTCCTTCTTGGCGTGGTCACGTGCACAGGCATATTAAAAGCTCTGAGCAAGTCCTGTAAAGAAACCTGTTTAGCTTTGTTCAATCTGGGCTTTAAGAAGGTTAGGTGATGGCATCGTCTTTTCCTCTGAAAGACGCTTACCACTCTGTGGTATTATTATTCCATGTAACTGTCAGAGGTACAGGTGTACTGAGCAGGGGTCCTCCTCACCGTGTGGTTAAAGGTAAAGCTTCCCATATCCGTGAAGTTATTCCCAAATTGTTCAGAAGCCAGGCTATTTTATCAACCCACTTGTTCCAAGACATAGTCACCTCCAAGCCTCGCTATTGGTTTTCTCATGGGACCCAAGCATCCTGGGTTGGGTTTCCCCAGAAGCAGACCACGGTGGGTCAAAGAAACAGGGATAAGTAGTTTGTGTTCTGTGGGGGGTGGTCCCAGGAAGCCCTGGTGGAGGAGACAGAGAAGAGAAGGAGGCAGCAGAAGGGACACCCTGAGCGGGTCACAGAGCACCAATCCCACCAGGATCTCTGAGGGGCAGTCCCCTTGGCACTGTCCCCTCCAAATGGAGAGGTGGCTGGGGTATTTGCCATCCCACTCCCCTCTCTCGGTGGCTGTGAGCTGCTTACTCCTGGAAGGGATGACAGCCCTGCGGACCTGCCCACACCTGGGCTGAGTGACCTCTCTCGGGCATGGAGGCACAGAGCTGTAGTAGGGACACTTTGGGGGGGCTCTCCTGCAGCAGCCAGTGCTGGTAGGATCAGCTACATCAATCAGGTCACTAGAAGAGGCCCACCGGCCTTCAGGTGACGGCCAACACTGAGAGGGCAAAATGTCTGTGGGGCAGTCAGCACCCCCTCATTTAATACAAAGTGGGGTTCCTCGACCTCCGAGCTACTGGCATTTGGGGCAGGAGGTTCTTCCTAGTGAACAACTTCCCTGTGTGTTGTAGAATAACTAGCAGCGTCTCTGGCCTCTACTCCAGAGGACAGCTGCACCCACACACAGCTGTGCTGAGAAGCAAAACGGACCCAGTAGAGAGCCACCGAGCCAGGGATCTGTCCCCAGATGGACATTTTCTCCTTACTCCTTTCTCTTCCATCCCAGCGCTCACAAGATCCTGAAATTCATTCAGGGGATGGAGCAGTGGTTAAGAGCCGAGGTCTGGAACTCTGAACTATATTCAAATTTCCAGTCGCTAGCCATTTGACTCTGGGCAAATCATGATCTCTCTAAGTTTCTATCCTTCTGCCCGTAAAATGACGGGAACAATAGAACACGGTCGTCAGGGTAGCCACAGCCACAGCCACAGCCACAGGTGGTGGTGACAGGGGTAAGAGCATCGTGCCAGCAGCCAGTTAGGCACAGCAGTGAATAACAGGAGCGGTGGCCACCACAGACAGCGGCAGCAACAGCAGTGTGGCAGGAGCCGGAACATGACCCTCGAGGCACCACGCTCCGTGCCTTTGACCAGCATCCTGAGACGGCTGCTCACCTCCACTCTGTAGATAAGAAAAGGCACATTTATCAAGGTTTGGTAACTCCAAAAGTCACCCATCTCTTCAGCCAAAGAGTCTCAGCACGGGGCCCACGTTCCCAAGTGCAAGATGCACAATCTCTCTCTCAGGCCGGAGGAGACTCCTCTTGGACATCCATCCACGTGTCCATCCATTCATTTAATTCACTGAAGCAAACTCTCCTTGAGCTCCTACTGTGTGCCTCGCAGTCAGACCACAGGAGCAGTTACTAACTAGATTGGGAGGGAGTGGTACAGCGCAGGCACAGGCAGTGCCACAAGGAAACAGGGAGAAGCAGAGATGGCTTCTGACACAGGGTTAGGAGGGTGGATCTGATTTGGGTGGCACAGAGAGAAGATGTGGAGCAGAGGCTCAGGCACCAGCAGAGCAGAAGGCAACGAGGACAGGGAGTAGAGTTGTGGCCGTGCACCCCCAGAGGAGTCACAGCCCAGGATGTGACCATAAGGTAGGGCACGACCCTTTTCCATGCCAGCGTCACCCCACCCACATCCCAGAGGATAGATGTCTCTCTCTCTTTCCTCACATAGAAGAGGAAAAAAGGCTATTTGCAGTCTAGTAAGTGTGATGATTTTGACTGACTTGTGGGTCCATCCCCCAATTCACAGGTCCAGCCACAGGAAGGACAGGAAGAGCAGAGACCACTGCCACACCTCTGAAGACCACCGCCATCCCCTCTTTCATCACCTGGATCTCCATTCCCACCTCAGAAGACCTGAAGCTCCAGATATCAGGGGAAACCATCAGCACAGCTCCAGAGGCAACGGCTTCCTCGGCCACGGGTCTTAGAGAGGGTCTCACCAGCACAGCTGTTCCCGGGACAAGCCCCTCTCTACTCAACAGAGAACCAGAGGCCACAGCCTTATTGGTCCCCAGTCCTGGGGCACAGACCAGTCCAGCTGTCCCAACTCTGGCTGCGTCTTCTCCTGAGTCAGATTCAACAGCCTCACAGGTCACCCAACCTGAGATACAGGCAGGTCACTCCACTACAACCCCGCCTGTCTCCTCGGGGGCATCAGGACTGGAGGCCTCTCTGACCACTAGTTCCGAGGCAGTGACCACAGCACCTTTCTCTAGAACAAGCCCCGATTTTCCCCAGGGTCAACCACACATCCCTTCCTCAGTGGACACCAGTACTGGGACAGAATCCACTTCTGCCGTTCCAACAATGACGGCATCGCCTGACATACTAGAATGGGTGACCTCACAGGTCCCTAGCTCTGGGACAGACACCAGTTCAACTAAACCAACTCAAACTCCTTCTGATAAACCAGAGACCACAGCCTCTCTGGCCACCAGCCGTGGCACACCAAAGATTCCAACCACTCCAAATCCCTCCCTCTCACTGGACGTATCAGAGGGGGCAATGTCACTGGTCACTAGTTCTGGGAGAGAGACGAGTACTACTCCTCCAGATCTCACTGCTTCCCCAGGTCACCCGGAGACCTCATGGGTCACCCAGGCTGAGATAGAAGCCAGTTCCCTTGTTTCAACAGAGACTATTTCACCTGGAGAACCAGATACCACAACCTCACGGGTCACTCACCCTGCAGAGGCCAGCACAACAGTCCCCAGGACAACCCTAAGTTTTTCCCATGGTGAATCAGATACCATGCCCTCAACAGCCGCCGCTCCTGGAGAAGAAGCCAGTTCTGATATCCCAGCGACAGGGGTCCCACCTGATATCCCAGACACAGTGACTTCACTTGCGACTCCTTCTACATCAGTGACCATTAGGAATATTCCAACCCTGACTGTTCCAGCCGGTGAGCCGGAGACCACAGCCTCATTGGTCACCCATGCTGGGCCACCGACAGGTTCACCCACTCCAGCTCTGACTGTCTCCCCTCGTGCGCCAGGGACAGTGACTGCATGGGTCACTAGTTCTGGAGCACAGACAAGTTTGCTTCCAACTCGGACTCTTTCCCCTGACCAACCAGAGACCACAGCCTGGTGGGTCACCCGTCCTGGGTCAGAAGCCAGTTCTGCTGCCCCGACTCTGACGGCTTCACCTAGTAGGAGAGATACCACAGATTCGTTGGTCCTCCATCCTACGGAGACCAGCCCAGCGGTTCCCAGGACAACCCTAAGCTTTTCTCATAGTGAATCAGATACCACACCCTCAACAGCCATTGTTCCTGGGGAAGAAGCCAGTTCAGCTATCTCAGCATCCACTGTTTCACCTAAGGTGCAAGAGGCAGTGACCTCACTGGTCACTAGTTCTCTGGCAGTGACCGGTACAAGTCCTCCAAGTCTGGCTCTTTCTTCTCAATCAGATACCACAGCCTCACCGGTCACCCAGACTGGGGAGCAGACGAGTCCAGCCGTTCTAACTAGGACTGTCTCTCCTGGTGGAAAAGGACTGGTGACCTCACTGGTCACTAGTTCTGGGACAGAGACAAGTACAACCACTCCAGCTCTGACCCTTTCCCCAGATCAACTGGGCACCACAACCTCGCGGGTCCCTCATCCCGGGGCCGTTGCCAGTTCAGCTGTGCCCACTCTGACCATTTCCCCTGGTGAGCCAGCTGCAACAGCTCGAGTCATTCGTCCTACAGAGACTAGCCCGGCCATCCCCAGGACACCCTCAGATTTTCCCCCTAGTGGATCAGACACCACACCCTCAACGGCCGCCAGTCCTGGGACAGAAGCCAGTTCAGCTGTGCCCGTCAGGACTGCCTCACCTGAAGCACCTGAAGACACGGTGACCTCACAGGTCACTAGTTCTGAACCGCCAGCCAGGATGACTCTTCTAATGACAACTCTCTCTCCCGGTGAACCAGAAACCACAGCCTCATTGGTCACCCCTCCCAGGGCACAGACAAGCACCAAAGTCCCTGCCTCAACTCTAGTTCGTCCTTTATCAGAGACCACAGCCTCACTGTCCATCGGACCTGGGGTGGAGGTTAGTACAGGTATCCTGACTCACGCTGCTTCACGTGGTGGACCAGAGACGACAACTCCTGTCTCCTCCTCGCCTGGGACTGAGACCAGCAGAGCTAATCCAGGCCCGGGTGTGTCAACGGGTGCTCCTGAAGAAGCAGCCTCACCTTCCACCCACCCCGGGACAGAGACCAGCAACACTGTTCCAACCCTGTCCCCTGGTTTAACATCAACCACGGGTGTACGGGCCCCCAGCGCCCCCAGCCCCTCAGCAGAGGCCAGCACAGGTATCCCAGCTCCGACCATTCCCCCCAGCGTCCCCGGGCTTGCCAGTGCCCCTACAGCAAGTGAGCCCCCTACGGTGACCTCCTGGAGCACAGAGACTTCACTGCCTGCAACTTCAGTTGGACTCCCAGATATTTCCAGAACTGTCACAGATACCACTATGACCTTGATACCATCAGAAAGCCCAACATCACCTACAGCCAGTCATGGAGAAGGAGCAAGTCAAACCACTACCCTGAAAGCTACAACTGAGGGGACCCCTCATCTAGCTGCCACAGGTTGGAGCTCCACAATGGCTGACACCAGAATCACCTTTGGCACACTGCCCGGAAGGCCCTTGAGCCCTCTGACCACACCCGCGATGTCCACCTGGGGCCCTGAGAGCATGACTCCAGGAACAGGTCAGAAAGAGTGACTTCTCTTTGTTGTAGTGAAATACGTAGAGTACCCATCCAGTTTGCCCTTTTAAGCATTTTAGACGTAGAGTTCAGCAGCATTGATTATAATCTTACTGTTGTGTAACCATTACCACTGTTTTTAAAACTCTGATCACCCCAACCTCTGTACCCTTTCTGCAATCACTACCTATTCCTGCCAGCCCTTGGTGACCTTTAATCTACTTACCCCCACGAATTTGCCCCTTCTGGAACATATCAGTGAAATCATACCACATTTTCCCTTTTGTATCTGGCTGACTTCACTTGGCATAATGTTTTCAGTTAACTGGAATAGAATGTCCCCTCTTCTAGCTCTCTGTGAAATCTATACCAGGTTATCTTGAGCTCTATCACCCCACTGAGCTGGAGAACATCAGGGCTTTCTCTTTCTGTCTCTGTTTTTGTATGTTATTTAATTCTCTCTGTCCTCTCTACCCTCACCCTGCCCAACCTCAAGTTGCCACCATCTTTCACTCAGATTGAGTGTTTTAATGGTCGATTTTAGTTATACATAATATTGGGGTTCATTTTGACATAACTACACAAGCATGGAATCTCACTTGCTCTAATTCAGTCCCCACTGTTTCCCCCGTTCCCCCCCTGCCTCCCTGGACCCTCCCTCTACACACTGCAGACAGACCTCCTTTACACCCACACGGGGGAGAAAGAGTCTGTGGCACTTGTCTTTCCCCACCTGGTCTATATCACCTAACGTAATGTCCTCCAGTTCTTTTTTTCTAATTTTAAAATTTGTTTTAATTAGTTATACAGGACAGTAGAATGCATCTATGCACTTTGATAGATCATACATAGATGAGACATAATTTCTCATTTTTCTGAGTGTACATGTTGCAGAATCACATTGGTCACGCAATCACATATATACATACAATAATAATGTCATTCCACTGTCTTAACTATCCCCACATCACTTCCCCTCCCCTCCCATCACTTCCCTCTACCTAATCTAAGGTAACACTATTCTTCCCTAGTGCCCCCCACCCCCTCACCTTATTGTGAATTAGCATCCACGTATTAGAGAAAACATCCAGCCTTTGGTTTCTTGGGATTGGCTTATTTCACTTAACATGATATTCTCCAACTCCATCCATTTACTGGCAAATGCCATAATTTCACTCTTCTTTAAACCTGAGTCATATTCCATTGAGTATATATATACCACATTTTCTTTATCCACTCATTTATTGAGGGACACCTAGGTTGGTTCCATATTGTGAATTGAGCTGCTATAAACATTGATGTGGCTGCATTACTGTAGTATGCTGATTTTAAGTCCTTTGGGTATAAACCAAGGAGTGGGATAGCTGGGTCAAATGGTGGTGCCATTCCCAGTTTTCTGAGGAATCTCCATGCCCTCTAGTTCTTTATGTCAGAGTAAGACATCATTCTTTTCCACGGTGGAGGAAGACCATGAGTGCACACCTTGTTTTCTTCATCCGTTCGCTCATGGATGGGCACTAGGTTGAGCCCGTATCTTGCCTCTGTGGACAGTGCTGTGATAAACATGGCCGTGGGGATACCACCGGACGTGGGAACCCTCTCACTTTGAAAACTGAGCCTGCGCCCAGGAGTTCATACCTTCCTTAGCAAACTGGGACGGTTGTCACCTTGTGTAGGAAGTTCCTGGTGTGGGAACTCATGAAGCAGTTCCGCAGGACAGACCCTCCCTGGGTGCCAGAGCTGAAGTTGGTCTTCAGAGCCCTGCCTCCCGCGTCTGCCCGGGACTGACAGTGCTGCCCTCTTCTCCCCTCCCCCATGCAGCTGAGGTTCCTCTGACGGTATATTTTACTATCAACTTCACCATCACCAACCTGCCCTACATGGAGGACATGGGGCTTCCAGGCTCTGGGATATTCAATGCCACCGAGAGGACCCTACAGTACCTGGTAAGATCCCCTCCCCAGTGGCCACCGCTCTGCTGCCTTGGCCCCCCCTGTTCATCTCTTTCTCCTTCCTCCCCAGCTCAAGCCCTTGTTCAGGAACAGCAGTCTCGGCTCCTTCTACGCTGACTGCAGGCTGAAAATGCTCAGGTGAGACTCCCTTCATGGCCCATGGCAACCTCAATTCTGTCTTAATTCTTGGCCCTCCACATCCGAGATAGCCACAGCTTCTTGGACTTTTGCTAAGAGGCAATATAGACTAGTGGACCCCAGGCTAGACTTTGAGCCTGTGCTCTTCCACTTGCCGGCTGTGTGACATCGGGCGAGACATATACCCTTTTGCTCCTCAATCACATTATCTATAGAATCTTGATAACAACCAGACTCTTAGGCTTGTTCATTATTCAGCACAGTGAAATAAGCCAGATACTGCCTGGCCCAGTGTAGTGCCTGCTCTCGCTTAATTGGAGCTCATAGGGATAGCCAGTGTAGATCTTGGCCAACGCCATGCCCAGAACCCCCGGCATCTTCCCCGACCCAAACCATCTCTGCAGTTTGTTCCCTGAAAAAGAGGCAAGGACATGCCCAAGTCTCACTAAAATAGTGGAAAAGGAAGTAAATGTTGAGCTGACGCAGGAGATCTTGCAATTGAAATAATCTTCAAGGGACCTAAACACTGCAGAAATAGCCTGCCGTCTCTGCTCTGCCTGGCTCCTTTGTGGTCCCTGGGGCTCAGCACCCTCCCCTTACAGCTTATGTCCCTAAGGTGTCTCCATGGAGTCCTCCATCCAATAAACTTGGATCATCCTGTCAAAAGGGAGGGCTTACCACCCCATCCTGTGAGTGGAGAGATTGCTGGAGCGTCATGGATGGGAACTGTCCTCACTGAGCTCCACCTATTCCTCCTGGCCCCCTCCCTCCACAGGTGGAGGGAATCAGTAATCATGGCATGGCCACATGCCACCCTCGGTCTAGTGCCTTACATGTTTTCATTTAGTCCCCAAGGATGAAAACCACACAAGTATGATCCCACTCTATAGATGAGAAGACTGAGGCTCAAAATAATCAATAATAACTGCTTGAGAAGAGCCAAGACTGGAGCCCGAGTGTCCTGGTTCGGGAGTCCTTGCTCTTAACCAGGATTCCAGCAGACCTCAAGGTCACTGGGGTCAACGCCTTTTGCACTCTTTTTCCCTACCAGCCTTCATGACCCACTGTGGACATTTAAGGTGTATGACTTGATGATGTGATGTGTGTAGACATACCGCAATTCTTCAAATAATCACAATTCGGCTCATTAGCGTGTCGACCACCTCTACGTAGTTGTACATGATTGCTGGGGAAGTTTACTTGAAGATCTATCTTCATAGCAAATTTCAAGGGTACAATGCAGTACTGTCAACTATCATCGACATGCTGCACATCAAATCTCCAGATCTGACCCATCTTATCCTAAAACTCTGTAGCCTTTTACCAACATCATCTCACTGACCCCTCCTAACAAATTACATTCTTAAAAAGTGCTCAGGAAAAAAATTAAATTAAAAAAGTGCTCAGAACTCCAGAGAGCTTGGGGGTTCTGTCCCCCCATATTTGCTGAATTGAAAATTATTAAAGCTGATATATTTTATAAGTACTTATTCATTCATTCAACATAATAAACCTAATGCAGCCATCATTAGCATTCATGGAGGATTTGCCCCAAGATCCACAAGGATACCAACATCTGCAGATGCTCGTGTCCCTTATATAAAGTGGCAGAGTATTTGCATAACCTACGCACAGCCTCTCATATCATCTCTAGATTGCTTATAACACCTAATAGAATGTAAAGACCATGAAATAGTGGTTAGTGCATTGCTTAGGGGAAATGGCAAGGAGGACCATCTGAACATACTGAGTGCAGATACAACTTCATGTATGCATGTACATACTGTGGGGCTGGAGACCAAACCCAGGGTCTCATGCTGGGTCAGCACTGCACCACCAACCTGTGTCCTCAGCTCTAGATGCAATTTTTTGAAAAAAGTATGTTTGATCCAAGATTGGTTCATTCTGCAAATGTGGATCCTATGGATATACAGACCTGACTACTCATATTAATGCAAATAATGTATTTTTAAGAACAATAGCCATATTTTTTTAAATAGCATAAGGAGAAGAGAGGTATTGTTTATGTTTTTACCAAACTTTGCAATGTCTGGCCTAGAAGAAGATGGGTAGATATATGCTTCTGCCTTCAATCTGTTTGAATATTTTAGCTTAAGGGGCCACTGGGGGGGAAATCACTGTATACTCCTGAGTAAATGAAAAAGGAAAATGATGTCTTACCTGGTGGGCTCCTTGTAAGTCTTTTGGGGACACCAGGAGTCCCTAGACCACACTTTGAGAGTAACTGTACTACACTCATGGGCAAGAATGGGAAGAAATGCTTTGAGCAGCACAGATAACAGCAGCAGCATTCTCAGGCCAGGACCGGGCTACCTCTCCCTACCAGTACAGGTGTCCCCTAGCGGGCATCTCAGACAGGTCAGCTTAAACTCATGACAAAGATATTGTGCAATGACATTGCCTCACTGCTTCTCTAAAAATAAATTAGTGGCATCTATGTCTACAATACACTAATGAAAACATAAAAATCTAGATGATGCAAAATATTGTATTTATGGGTATGATGTGATATTCTGATACATATACATAGTGTATAATGATCCCATCAGGGTAACTACACTTTCATCACTTCCAACACTTATCATTTCTTTGTACTGGGAATATGCAAAGTCTTCTGGCTATTTTGAAATATGCAATAAATTATTGCTAACTGTGGTTCCCTTCCTGTCCTGTGGAACACCAGAACCTATTTTTTTCTTACCCAGTCACCAATGTCTCTGTCTCCATCCACCTCTCCCCACCCCACCCCACCCTTCCCTGCCTCTGTTAACACTATTCTACTCTCCACATCTCTGAGATCAATATTTCTTCGTTTCCACGTATGATTTGAAAATGTGGTATTTGCCTTTCTGGCTCATTTCACTTAGCATAATGTTCTTCAGGCTCCTCTTGTTGAAGGACAGGATTTCATTCACTTTTATGGTTGAATAATAGTGCATGCACGCACGTGTGTGTGTGTGTGTGTGTGTGTGTGTGTGTGACATTTAGATTGATTCTGCATCTTGGCTACTATGAACAGTGCCGCACGATACCATCTCTCCCCAGTTAGAGTGGCTATTATCAAACAGACAAAAGAAAATAACAAATACAGAGAAAGAGGAACTCTCATACACTTTTTTTTAAATCTTTTTTTAGTTGTTGATGGACCTTTATTTTATTCATTTATCTATATGCAGGGCTGAGAATCAAACCCAGTGCCTCACCTGTGTGAAGCAAGCGCTCTCTCACTGAGCCACGGCCCCAACCCTCTCAAATGCTTCTGGTGGGGATGTAAATTAGAACAGCTCTCATGGAAAACAGTGCGAAGTTTCCTCAAAAAACTAAAAAGAGAGCTACTCTGTGTCCCAACAAGGCTTCCTAATTACTTCTTATATTGGTTTTTTTTATGCCATTATACATTCTCTCTCTCTCTCTCTCTCTCTCTCTCTCTCTCTCTCTCTCTCTCT